CGACGTCAAGGATGTCCATGGCTTGTCTAGAAACATGGATGTAACTTCAGAGTGCCGCCTTGGTGACATCCAAAACTGGAAATCAATTCCGCATGTACTCCCCTTTGTGCTAAAGGGAGGCTGTGCCCCCAGCCCTTTCCCTGGGGTAAGGCAGCCATAGCCAGACTGAGTCCCAGGCTGGTGCCTCCCGCTCGAGTTAGAGTGAGGCAGTGGACAATTGGCCATTGAGTTCACCCATGACTTGGTGCAATTGTGAATACTTTTAGGATGCCCGCTGCTAGCTGAAGAAGAGGCCTTTTGTTGGGGGTATGGAATCCCCTGGGGAAAATACAGTTAACTTTTTTCCAACTGGCTTTGTATAGTACTGCTTGACTTACTAATGCTGGGAGAAGATGAGTTTTGATGGCTAAATACTGCAAAACAAGGTTGATTGTCTCGGAGACATCCTTATATACAGCAACCTGTGCAACAATGGGTAATTGTTCATTTTCTGAAGCCTGTGGAAGTGTCAAGCAATATTCCTGAAGTTTGTTAAATAAATTTCTTTGAAATAAGATAACTGTAATCTTCTCTTTTTATATTTAGATATTGGGGTGTAGATTTAAGGGGATGAGTGGGGTTTATGTAATCTCCCAGGTGCCAATTCTGTGTGTTTACCCAGCTAGACTGATGAAGAAACAACTGCTTAGTGTTTTGCCAAGCTCTGACCAAGGAAGCCGAGGCCGCGTAGCTGCTGCACACACCCCTCTCCTTTCCCCTCCAATGTGTCCACACTAACCCAAGCAGCCAGCACCACTTTCTTGTCTTGCAAAACAAGAGGGGCAGTCAGCTGTGCTGCTTCATGGGAATTAGAGATAACCTTGTAGGCTCTTAATGATTTCCTGCTGTTGCATGTGCTCTGTTTACCAGCTAAAGAGCTCTTTCCTGTGTCCTTCACCTCCCTTTTCCCACACTGCACCCTGTGTTTGAAGCATCCTCGCTCTTTTCCCCAGCTTTGCTTATTTGGCCTGCAGAAGTGGTATCTGAGCACAAATGTATTTATACAGTTTTTCCCCAAGCTCGCTGTACTAACAGGTTTAGTTAAATGCCAGGAAAACAGATTTCCAGCTTCACCACTGAATTAGTTTATGTAATCTCAAGTAAGTTAATTAGCACCTGGTGTTCTCTTTCTGATGGGAGAGGCCATTGGCCTGTCTCAGATGGTTTAATATCTCTTAAAAGCAGGATAATGAATATCACCTCCTGCTAATGAGCTGTTTTAGACTTGCTCAGTTACTACCTTTAATTGGAAACTTGTGCACAAACCATTGCTTGTAGATAAGAATAAGGAAATAATGGTATGGGGCATGCTAACTGTCCTGACTGTTACTGGTATTTTGATTTTAAGTCTACAGTACCTTCATCAGCTATGCTTAGAGGGACACCTGGTTTGGGGGTTGAGCTTTGCTTGCTTTTGTGAGTCAGGGGAAGATGATTACAGG